TGTGGCGGCTCGGGGCATATTCCCCTCAAAGAAATGCCTACGGTCCAGTTAGATACTCACCACATGGGTAAGTGAGTATGTGTTTATCCTGTACAGCTGATATAGAGGCACGTCGTTGGCTGTATCTGTGAAGTGATGTTTGCGACTTCTGCCGTTACGGTTAGCTAGCCAGCTAACAGCTAGCTGTTCCTAGTGTTCTGACGGAAAAACTCGGGAATTCTGAAAGAGAATGCGTTTCTCCCACAACAAGTTCAGTTAACCTTGTTTTACAATGTAGTTAAAATCATATCAACGCCTTCTCACTCGTTGATATCAATATGGTTCAGTTTTATTAACTATTGGACACAAAATGTCTCCTCATTCACTTAATGTGTACTGGACGATTCAAGTGTATATCAACCCTTGTGTTAGTTTCATACTGCGTCATAGCTGTTTGCTGTTTTTCCCTAGCTTGCAAAATGAATATTTTTCAATTGTTGGTTGGACAAAGCTTGCCCAAGTTAGCATTTTGGGTTTTAGGAAAATGTGGTGGCAGTCTTTTAGAAATTTTACCAACAATACCATGATAGCTCAAATGTATTTGACTAAATAGTTCACAAAGAAGATTGTTCGTTTCACTCCAAAATTGTTTTTATGAATTTTATGTGGTTTTATAGCAAAATTGACTCTTGCTTTTGTTTTTCAGGCACAGATGTTGTCATTGTAAAAAGTGGCCGTAGGATATGTGGCACTGGAGGGTGTCTGGCCAATGGTCCTCTGCACCAGAACAAAAGTTATTTTGAGTTTAAGGTCCAGTCCACTGGTAAGCATTTGACTTAAAGTCCACCCTCTTTCCATACATTTTCTTCCTTGCTTACCAGCCAGATTGACTATGTGCTTAATTTATTCTGAGTTACAGCAGTTTTTAGTAGCTACAACATTTCTTGTCTGCATGCTCACTGGTGAGCTTCTGTTCATTTACAAGGACAGTGTATGAAGGTGCAAACCATTTGCTTTCTTTCATTTAAGGCTGCCTTCATGCAGCCCTGCATTAGTCACAGACTCTTGCCAACATTTTATTTCACCTGGCCTTTGTCATATATATGAATGTATTTTAGTCTCTGTGCTCAAATTTGCTTTAAAATAGTGGATGTGTTGTGCTTTGTGTTTAGGTGTCTGGGGTGTTGGTGTGGCCACACAGAAAGTGAATCTCAATCAAGTGCCTTTGGGCAGAGACACAAACAGCTTAGTCCTGAGGCATGATGGGTCTGTGTACCACAATAATGAAGAGAAGAGTTGTCTGCCTGCAAACAGCCTTCCTCAGGAGGGTGACATTGTGGTAAGTGCAAATTTGATTTTTCTTTAGAATCACAATCTGAATCAGCTTTAATCACCAAGAATGTTGACCATACATCGATCAGGCATAACATTATGACCAGTGGCAGGTGAAGTGAATAACACTGATTAACTCACTACAGTGGCACCAATCAGCATGAGGGGTGTATTAGGCAGCAAGTGAACATTCAGTCCTCAAAGCTGATGTGTTGGAAGCAGGAAAAAATGAGCAAATGTAAGGATCTGAAAGGGCCAAACTGTGATGCTGAGATGACTGGGTCAGAGCATCTCCCACCCTGCAGGTCTTGGTGGGTGTTCTTGGTCTGCAGTGGTTAGTACCTACCAACAGTGTTTAAGGAAGGATAAATGGTGAACTGGCAACAGAGTCATTGATGTCCATGGCTCACTGATGATTGCCCTACTGTAGATTAAACTTTTAACTTCCATTTGTACTTTTCAAAAGATTAAAATTTATTTGATTGTTAAAATGGTTGAAAATGAGAAATACTGTACATTGTTCTTTATGAAGAGAAAGAGTCAGGGGCTGTAGTGGTGATATCACACCTAGAGTGGGGAGGCTGTTGAATGTGTCTAAAACTTGTCCTCATGACCACAGTTTTCACTCCTTTTACATAGGTTTTTCACTGAATTGTAGACACATCTGTGTCTGGACAGAATTCTGAGATGAAATAGCTTCCTCTAGGACTCCTTGACCACGCAAAAACTCACTTAAATCCTATTTTTGGGAATCATGCAGCGCCTCTCCAGCATGACTCAAAGGCACTCTCTCACTCACTGAAATTGGCTCCTTACAGGTATCCAGACTTCTGAGTTTAAAGTCAGAAGATGAAAGTCAGAATTCTAGAATGTCAACATTCTAGAATTATAGAATGAATGAATTCTAGAATGTCAACATTCTAGAATTATAGAATGAATGAATTCTAGAATGTCAACATTCTAGAATTATAGAATGAATCAATTCTAGAATGTCAACATTCTAGAATTCTGAGATGAAAGTCGGAATTCTGACTTTAAACTCATAAGTCTGGATACCTGTAAGGAGCCAATTTCAGTGAGTGAAAGCCTGCCTTTGAGTCATGCTGGAGAGGCGCTGCATGATTCCCAAAAATAGGATTTAAGTGAGTTTTTGCGTGGTCAAGGAGTCCTAGAGGAAGCTATTTCATTAATGGAAAAGGAAAAGGTGAGTGAAAAAGACGTGTGTTAGTTTTTCACATAGTCTTTCACTGAACTGTAGACACATCTGTGCTCTTCCTGACAGTATAACTTGGAAACAAATGGATTCACAGGAGATGCACAATGAGCTGCAGAGTGGCACGAGTGCCAACCAACTGCCACATTGACTCCTATGTAAACAGTATTAGGCTGGTGGTCATAATGTTATGCCTGATCTGAGTGTCTGTGTGTGCGTGTTATTGTAGTGTGCACATATATTGTCTCATGGTGTTCCAACAGACATGTGACTTTACACTGTGTATATTTACACACCTTAGTCAACATCTTGTAAATCATGACTGATTTATTGTTAACCTGAAACACTTATTTCTCTCTGTCTTGTTTTTTTCAAAGCTTGTCTCTTGTTCTGAGCTTGACTCAAATTATTCAGAAATTATTTTGTAGAATATAATGAGCACAGGCCAGGGGTTGGAACAAATGAATTCTAGAAGACTGGCAATACTGTATTTGTGTGAGCTCCACTAGAGAGACCCTACCACACACACTTAGACAGCAGATAATTGATCATACTACAAACTGATTGAGTACATTTGTGATTATTTTTTTGTTGTTGTTGTTAACATATACAGACATTGTATAGTTTGCAATAATCAAAAAATAACAAATACAACAAAACTACAGCCCCTTTGAGCCAGTCTAATTCAGGGTTCAACAGCAGTGCCATTAAAAGAGGCTCGCATTGATCAGTAATGCATCACACAAACACTCATCACTGATACAATCAACAGCTTTTAGTAGAGAATACAGTAGTGAAAAAAGTCAAGGAATTTGCAGTAATGTATTTGAAAATGATTTGCATGAAAGTGCAAGATTTCATTAGATGCTGATTAACTGATTCATGCATGAAATTATGCAATTTGACAAACAAACTGTAGATTTTATGAGAGCTGTGAATGTTTATGCCCTGACTGTCACCATGTGAGTGTTGATGACTAATGGCCTGCAGGGCCGTGAAGGACTCCGCAAAACCCACATGCATTGTTATCTTTTCTTCACTTTGTCATGTATTCCTGGAACAATGACCAGGGAAAACAAGCTCTGACATTGTTCAGAACTGACATAGTTCCAGTGTGGTTTTGACTGGTTCAGGCTGTTCACACATATTTCAGTGTAATTTCAAGTTTTAGGTAAAAGATCTACACTGACGTTCTGTTCATTTTGATGTGCTTATAACTTATTTGCTTGGTTGGGACAAAAATATGTGTAGATGACTAATGTGTAACTGATATCTAAACAGAAGATTGTCAGGTGGCGGAGTGTTTAATCCACCAGAAATGTTTAGTGTTTGTCTTTTTTGTGTGTCGCATACAGTTTCTGCTTGGATGGACTCATCATTGAACATAATTATGCAGTGATTATTAAAGCTCAAGTAATCAAAGTGAAACTGTAGAAAGGAGAGGAAAGCAAAGAATAAATGCATACATAAATACTTTGTTCTGTTTTTCATATGATTTGGCCAAAATCTTACCCAAGCTGTTCAAGCTCCTCTTGACTTTGACTGAAAATAGGATACAGTGTCTGCTTATTTTTAAAGAGGCTATAGTCACAAACTTTGAAAAGCCAGACTGCACAGTTGAAGGTTTCTTTATGTTAATGAAACCAAGTTTAATAGGTAACCATATTTACATGCAAAAAATTCAGTGATTCATTTTTGTTTGTTTTCATAGGGCATCACATATGATCACGTGGAGATGAATTTATATCTTAATGGAAAGAACATGCATTGTCCTGCCTCAGGAATCCGAGGCACTGTGTACCCAGTTGTTTATGGTAAGTTTAGTTGTTGTCTTGTTAACTAATACTGAGATAATCTTGATTAATATTATTGAAATTGATAGACATTTATGTGAACACTGACTGCATATTTCTACTTTTGCTGAAATGTCACTATTGCAGTTACAGTTTTGTTCCACTAGAGGGCTATATTTGTACAGTTTTATAAAGCACTGATCATTTCAGGTTGTTAGTTGTATTTAAGAGTTGTTTTATTTTAGTATTAGACCACAAATGGATTCTGCACATCCAAGAGTGAGTTTTGTGAACTAATCAAAACAAAGCCTTTAGCAGGAAGGGTCAGTCTTACCACAGAGCATCAACACATTGTCTTTATTCTGGTTGAATGCTGCAGCAGATGTTGAGTTTATCAGTGAAATCAACAGGAATTTGTTTCTTTTTTGTTTGTTTGTTTGTTGGAAAGAAGACATACAGGCTGCACTTAGCAATGGCTTTGCCTATAATGCCCCACAACTGTGGTGCAACTAATTTGTTTAAACTTTCTTGTACAAACCTCTGTTTTAAGGCACTACTAATATTTCTGAGATAGAAAATATATCAATGTGATCAGAGGCCAAACTCTTGGGCACGGGTCCGGTTTGGACAGAAATATGCGGCTTGATTTCATGCTCTAGTGCCATTTACAACAATATCAGTTATTTACAAATCATGATTCAGTTTTGCACTAAATGTTTCCATTGGAGAACCACTTTCTGTTTTCAAGCCACACTTTTGAAATGTGGGGCACACACTGCAGTATACGTATCAGTAAATCACTTGATTTTGAGATGATTACTCAACTAAGATCCACAAACACCACCTCTGATGTTACAACACTTTAGGTTGGTAACAGTCAATCATGACAGTGTTGCACATACAGTGCTGGTTTGCCAGTTGGCTTGGTAGTGTGGGGGCTTGGAGGTAGTGGTGTTCTCCAGCTGGATTTGTGTGACTCAGTCACTATGCTACCTAAGATGACCAGGGATTCCTAGCTGAAGTTGAGGTGATAACACTGAGGTACCCAGTAATTTCAGTGTTGCCAGACTGCTGACATTCTTTTCTCAGCAGGTATCTCGGCTTGCCATAGCAGGAAAAGCAAAACAACAGCTTTCCATTTATGTGATCTAGTTCCAGGGTCCAAGCATTGTGCATACTGGTCTTCTGTCATGCCTTAGTGGGGCACTTGATGGAACTGCTATCATTAATCAAAATAGTTTCAGCCATGCTTTTCCTGCTATAAGATTTCAAAAGATACATGTCATAAAATCAGTCAAAATAGGATAACAGCTGTGGGGTTGTTGCCAGACCATTGTCAGTGAAAACTGATCAAATCATGCCCTCACATTCCTGAAGCAGATAAGAAAGCTTATCTCTTAATGATAAAACCTTTTATTTAAACCTGCATTTAATGTTGTAGAGAATTACTCACACATTTTCATGAAGTTTTCAGGAGCTTTAAAGGAAATAAAGGGTTTCAGAAGCTAACATTTAAATAATGTCTAAACCTGTACTTTCTGTCTTTCTTATCTTTTGTTTCAGTGGATGACAGTGCCATTTTAGACTGCCAGTTCAGCGACTTCTATCACACACCTCCTCAAGGATTTGAGAAGATCCTCTTTGAGCAACAGATCTTCTGAAGGAGCACTTCAGCGTCAGTCTTTCTTTACATCGTCATCCTCTCCTATAGCAACCTCTGTGACACTACAGGTTGACCTTGATTGGATCTTATTGTTATGTGTGACCTTGTTTTGTATCCCTTGATTACTCTGTCTCTATACTGATGCTCTTGGCTGACCTTGTAGAACTGGGGATTTCTGATTGTTGCTTGGCTACGATGGGCTGCTGCTGTCTATGCTGGTGGAAAACTGTCAGATGATTACCTTGTGTCACCTTTAACTGAACAGTTAAGTGATTGTGATTATAGTTGTCTGTGTGTATGTGCCAGGATCAGAAGCCATGTTTATTGACATTGCTTTATGCCCGTGTTTTTCAGCATGTACTCTCCTTAATACTACACTGACATCTCAGCATACAACCTATATTTATTTGTATTTATTTGAGTTACAGCTCAAATTGATGTCTATTTGGTATGCCCAAAAAATGTTTTTGTGTAGCAAGAGTGTGTGGACTAATTGAGGGTCAGCTGTCAGTAGTGGCACAACATTTACAATATCCCTTTCACCTTTATGCTGCCTTCACTAAAAATGCATCTAAAAGAGAGGATATGACAACATTGTTATTGACGTCACTATTTCAGTTTGAGTTTATACAGAGAGGGTTTAATATACAGGTAAGACAGTCCAGGGGACAGTTGGTGTCTGAGACTGACATATGCCCAGGTGACGGTACTGGAAAATGTTTTACAAAATGAAATATATCTCAAAAGCTGGACACTAATAGCTGTTGAGATTGGTTTCTAAATCACTTGTATAAAAGTCCTTTAGTTTTCCCACACTCTTCTCGTCCTAAAACCATGTATGGAGTATTTATTCCAAGTATCTGGTGCTGCTTATCTCTGATTAGAAATGTGTTTAAAAATCTGGTCTGTGTTCTAGTGGCATTGCATATCTGCTGCTGAGTTGTGACACTTATTTCAAATGCTCGTCTTTGCACCAGGTGCTTCATCAAATCCAAATACTGACTGATTAAAGTTTTGTGTGGAGGCATCCGTTTTGAGTCCTGCTATGTGTTTATGTTGTTGCCAAAATGTATATTATTGCTATTGAGCGGTGTACTCATGTTTAATGATGGCCGATTTAGCAAATAAACTGGGTAAATTTTGTATTACTGCGTCGAGGAAGTCGTGAAAACCAGGACAACCCGCGCAGGAGGAATGCATGAACTCCTCCCCTCACTTTGCGATCAGTTACGTCCTTCTCCTCCTCCTCTTCTCTGGAACTAGCAGCAGTATAGGAGCTGCCGTGCCTCGTCTTTCACGGAGGAGATCCCGAAAGCCGGAGTATTAGAAAAACCCCATACAGCCATGGCAGGAAACGCCGGCTTAGAAAACCACCGTATCAAGAGCTTTAAAAATAAGGGACGTGATGTCGAGGTGAGCTGACATATAAATACGAGTGTAAATAACACGAATCGAATTACTTTTACGTAGAAAAACGACAGCCTTTGGGCCTCGTTGGGGAGCCTGGCCCCGGTTACAGCTGCCAGCCCGCTAGCTAGCTCGCTAACATAGGCTATCGTGAAGTACTCGCCATCAAAAGTGCTTATTGGCCTATCTTGTTATCGGTAGCTAAATTTATCCCGAAGTTAAGGGATTGTGGTTATAGTTGTCCATTGAACATCAGTGGCCCACTAATATTCAGTGGATAATGTTTAAGAGTAAGCATCATTACAGTTATATCGCTGGAAATGGAGAATTTATGTCTGGCGATGTAACTGTCACTGTCAGCTAACGCTACCAGATAGTTGGATGGATACCGGTCACAAGCGAGGCTGGGCCTGATCGGCACCGTAATCTTGACTTTTGCCATGTTTTATAGCCAGCTGACCCTAAGTTACGCTAATGCTTGCTTTCGAATGCTACGTAGATTTGTCATTATTAGTGATTGTGTTGTATTTATGTTAAACTGTTGGTTCACACATCCACATTAACCCGACATTGCCCCTCCTTGTTAGCTAACTTGCTAACGCTGTCAGCTAGCTAGCGAATAATGCCAGGTGAGCCAGCTAAAGTGAGGTGCTAGCTAAGGCACTAAATAGCTCAATATTAATGATACGACCTGAATTTTATGGCCATTTTTGACGCGAATGACGGGAAATGTATTGCTAAGTGAAACTGAAGCACATCATTTGTTTTAAAGTAAAATTGATCAGTGAGAAATAGGCACGTTAGACCTGGGTAACACGACGCCGCTAAGGCTAGTACTTTTTAATATAACTTGGCTACATGTAGCTAATGTTGTCTCTGTTTTCATAATGATTACATATTCCCCCACAAACCTAATTTGCTATAAGAAATAAATACATTTGAAGTGTAATCGTGGTTGCTTTTTAAGTCACATTCTCGAAAAAACCAGTGTGCCTTACTGGCAAGTCTACGTTCTGACGATGGGCATTGCAGCATCATTCACTGAACAAGTCTAATTTTAAATCTCTGTGACATTTGTCTCTAATTGCCATTAACATTATGACCAAACCATTTGAAAAAGGCTTGTTCAGACAAGCCAAGATAGGCTAAGGTAAATGTGTTGGACTAAAGGAAAATATCAATAAGTAAAAAAATATCTAGACTTGTTTGCATGGAAATAATTACTATGCAACTCTCAGCCTAAGAGTTTACCAACAAAGACACATGCTTGTGCTAAGTTACTCTGATCTATTGGTAGTACTGATAATTGCCAAACAAAGGCATATCTGAAAATGCCTCCTTAAAGTCCTTCAGGGTGCTGATGGAAGATTTCACCATCAACTGCCTTAAATCACAGATTGATTCCCCATAGTTTGTTGTTTCGGAAGTCAAAGGGTAAGTGTGACAAGCACATGGCTACTATGACATGCAGACTTTGCAGAGTATGATTCTGATGCTATTTCAGGAACCTTGGATGTCTGTCCTGGGTCTTTTTGTGAGCCTCTCTATGAATTTGAGTTTTCCTGAAAGGATGAGTCAGACTAAAGTTGGGGGGTGGGGGGATGCGCCAGTTTGTGTTTTACTTATTTAGGTCATACATAGCAGATTTCTTTTCATTTATGACCTCATTAGGAACAGCTCTGAATGGCAAAGCAGTAATATCTCTCATGCTGCCGGTCAAAAGCTCCTTTGTGGTTTTTCAGGATGTCATATAGAATGTGATTATGGTTTGGATTCCTCAGTTTTTTTTTGTTTGTTTTTTTAACCCCAAAGAATGACTTTTTATTGCCTTGCAAAATTGCAGATATCATGTTTGGTTTTTCAGTATCTACTGTGGTGCCCCTATGGGTTTCTGCAATATTGTCTTTGTAAACATATTTGTTAAAGTTTGTTTTAGGATCAGTTTTTATATATTCATATATAT